GACTAATTTGTTTATTTATGTTTATAACGTTTGGTTAATCATCAACATTTGTAATTTACAATTTGTTTTTCATAACAGTTATTGTTTAATTTTCAGTAACATATAATTATGCTTTTTATATTGAGAAAAAATGTTAATCTAGACTAACCTTTAATTTGTAATACGTATATGCATATGTATACAACAATAACGCATAATGTGGCCCCCTGAATATATACAATTAAAGGTAACATTGCAAACATTTTACATTAACTGATCTACTATTTGTAATGACAATAGCTAATAAAATGGTAAATTCTTTTACAGCACATTGAGGATTTGATGTTTTGTGGTATATGCTACGAATACATGAATACATCTGTAATAACATCATGTTCTCATAATTGTAAGAAAATGTTTTATTTATTTTCAGCAATGACTTTAACATTGTTTCCTTAATAATATAAATGGATAATACATTTTAGATTGTTCGTTATGTATCAGAAAGTACTTACATTATAAAACACAATGTCCGACTTGTTTTTCTGAGACTTTTGAGAAGGACTTACGAAAAAATAAAACTTTGGATGAAATTATAGCACAATTTCTGCAAATTAAAGATAAACTAAAGAAATGTCTAAAAAGTCCACTACAATTTCTACCAGGCAATAAGAGTGATGGTATTTTAAATACACCGAAATCAATACATGAAAAAAGACATTCACCTTTAATTAGGAAAACAAATGTAACTGTTAGTAAAAACATAATTTCTAACAATATTGTGTCACCTTCTATAAATGTTCACAAAGATCTATCTAGTCCAAGTACTAGTGGTAAAAACAAAATCCCTCTAATGTTTACTCCTAAAAGTACAAGGCGTCCAGATCTAATCAGCATAGAAGAACCTAAGGTTGTTATATGTCCAGTATGTAAAGTTACTATTTCAGAGACAAATATCAATAGACATCTTGATGATTGTTTAAAAAGAGAAGCAAAGAAAGATCAATCACAAATTAAGTAATTATAAAAATATACTAATATATATTACGTATATAATTTACATTAGATTATTGAAATGTTTGAATATATTTATGCAATTGCTACCTACTTTCCAGCATAGATTCAAAACGTCAACCATTGCCAAAGTTAGTATTTAGTTTAATGAAAGATGCTGTGATGCGTAAGAAGTTAAAAGAATTTGGTTTGTCATCTCAAGGAGATCGCAAGACTATGGAAGCTCGATTGCAAAGATATATTGTTCTTTATAATGCAGAATGTGATAAATTAACTCCACGATCAGTTTCGGAATTAATTAGGCAATGTGAAGATGAAGAAAACCTTGAAAAAAGAATGAACAAGACTTCTTCATTTATAAATGTAATTAACTATACTTTTATTGTTATGCATAGCAAACTTATATACAATTAGTTTCAAATTATTCAAATTTTATTATTCATTTTAATTCATTATATAAAATTTCGAATTATTTCAGAAATTACAAATTAACAGAAATACAGAACAAAACATTATAGATGAGGAAAGAAGAAAGTATTGTAAGTCCTTGTTTATACTTCTTTATTAATTACAATGCATACACTATTGTAATGTGTATCTTTTTTTGCATTAGTGGAAGCACATAAAGACAGTTTTGAATGTTTAATTAAAAAAATTAAGAATACTGAGTTACAAAGAAGTACGAATGTAAGACGTAATTTGTTAAACGAAAGTTTCAAGGATGAAAAATGTGTTTCGCCAAAACCTGAAACAATTCCTGACAGTTCAGATGACTCAATGAATGATACTGAAACAAGTGATCTGCCATCTGTGAAGTCCACTGTATTTATTCAAGATTCCGATTCGGATACTACATGTCCTTTACAAATGTATTCTAGCAATGATCCAAAGAAATTTCTTAATCTTGAATTTTCTTCTTGTCATAGCGACGTTCGAATTAATGAAACTGATTCAAGTTATAACATGCCTGATGGAGAAAAAGAATTTTATGCAACCAAACATTCTTTCGTAGAAATAGAAAAGGATGACGACAATTCAGATGCACATAGTGATATTTCTGGATCTAATAGATGGATGCATTCTGCCACGGATACCATTGTTGAGGAACATATATCAGGGAATGATTCCAAATGTGTATCGAATTCTTCGAAGTACAAAATATCCAAAAATAAAGAAAAGTCATTTTCAACTAATGAAATGAAGAGGATAGACTTTGTTACAACAAGCAGGAATGATTTGGATCATGTTAGTATTTCAGATCAAGAAGATAGAGACTGTGAGAGGCATGCATCCATCTTGCAAGACATTTGTTGCGATATATCAAGTAATGATAGCAATGAGAGTAAATTTAGCAACAAATCCAATGCTATCAATCATGGATTTTTCAATAATAGTCTGTTAAACTCATCAATTATAGAGAAAGAAAATATAAGCTCATCTCCTGAATGTGGTGGAAGTTGCACGTATCGTAAAAGGAGTCGTGATGTGACTCAAAATGATAATGGAACCATATCTGATATGAAGAAGAGAATTAAAAAATTCTCTCAACCGTATCCTAGTGAGACTGATGTATCTAATGAAGGAATTAGGTTGTGCGATAATGAAGAAAAATGTTTACGAACTAAACCACGATTAAGAAATCGAAACATGAACACAGAAACAGTAGAAAGTACAACAATCTTGAGAAAATCTGTTCGAACAAAACGGAAGAACAATATCTAAAGAAATATTTTTGTATAACATTAGTAAGTATATTGTAGACAGGCTGGGTTAGGCGTTAATTTTATGCTGTTTTAAACAGCTAATGTGTTATTGCAGTGTGCTATTCCTTGCATGCTTGGAATCCTCTGGAAAATTTATTATACTGGAATCCTCTTAAAATTTAAATATTTTATCGAACGAAAAAATGATCTTAATATATTATAAAATAGAGATTATTATATCCTTTATAGGTTATTCCATCATTGACTATGTATTTTTATTGTGCACATAGCTTTAGNAAAATTTATTATACTGGAATCCTCTTAAAATTTAAATATTTTATCGAACGAAAAAATGATCTTAATATATTATAAAATAGAGATTATTATATCCTTTATAGGTTATTCCATCATTGACTATGTATTTTTATTGTGCACATAGCTTTAGAATACATTTATAAAACGTGAATAAAGAAAACAAGAAAAGTTCATAATCAC